CACACACACACACACACACACACACACACACACACACACGCCCCCCACCAGGCCTTCCAGCCCCGGTCTCATCCTGAGCCCTGCTTGGAGGTTACTTTCCTCTCCTAGGTAAGCACTCTGCCCTCTTTCCCTTCCCCTCGTTCCAATCTCAGCAAAGCTGTCTGGGCCAAAGCTGCATCTTTTATGATTTTGCCCATCTCTGAAACGGGAATAATAAAAATGTTGGGAATAATCCTAAAAACTTACGGACCAGGTTGCTGCGAGGACTAAGTAACTATGTATATATGAAACCTTGTTGGAAACTGCAAAGGACTACGCTGAACCTATTTTTAATTGTCTTTATTTCTAATGTAGATTTCATTGGTTAGAATCCTAAGGTGCTCGGCGGTTTTTGGCTGTCTCTCAGGGTCAGGATTAACGTGAGATGTTGCCAAATGTTTCTCAAGATAAATAAATCCACTGTATTTCAGCGGAACGCCAACACGTCTTACACAAAGCCCTTTGGAAAGAAGTCTTTCGGTTTAAAAGCTGGAGGTGTGGGAAAACAAAGAATGCAAATGCAGAGTGCCCGAGGCCACCAGTCCCCGGGCGGCCGGAGGGGCCCGCCTCCCCGCACCTGGGGCGCTACTGCGGCCTCCCGACCGAGCTCCCGCCCAGCCAGGGAAGCCAAGTCTTCGGGCAATGGCAGTTTTAACCCTGCGCGGCTGATTCTGCAGGTGATCAGGGACTCCAAAACCCGCAGGCAGTAACGCTTGCTCGCGGGAAGGCCAGCGAAGTAAGTGACCGTGTGTAATAAATAACAGGGTCGCGGCCGGGGAGAGAACAGGAGTGCTTTTGGCAGCCGCCCCGCGCTGGGGAAACCAGAGGGACTTGAGTCGCTGGGTTCCCCTCTCGAGTCATCTCAGAACCGCGCTTCCTGCCAGGCCGAGCTCGGAAGGCCAGAGCGGCCCCTCGCGGCGCGTTGCGGTGCCGGAGGAACCCGGCGGCCCGGCCCCGAGCTCCCGGCCCCAAGCGTCCGCTACTGGGCAGGCCTTTCCCGGGTGAGAGTGGCCACGCCACCCACTCATCTCCCTCCTCGAGAAAGGGGGCTAGGGTGTTTCGGTTTCGGCCCCGCTGCACAAACCACCGAAAAAAAAAATCGGAGCGTTTTTCGTTTCTAGTTCAAAGAAAAAGAAAAATGCAGGTTAAGGCTTCTCTCCCTGCAAGCGTGGCGCTGGCTGAAAGGACAGCAAGAGGACAAGGTGGACAGAGCTCGCGGCGCACATGCACGTAAATGGCACGTGTGCACTCAGGCAGAAATGCTCGCGCAGCATCCAGTCCGACAGCGTCGCCGTGTCACGCGGGCGCCACGGTCCAAAGGCAAAGCGCGGCCCACACTTCACGTCCGGACACCGAGGAGAACCTTCTCTGCGCTTGCGCGGAAGCCGCCTCCCCGCCACCACCCAGCAGCCCGCCGCCAGCCCCGCCCTCGAACCCGCGCCGCCCCGCCCACCTCCCCTCCCCTTCCCCAGCCTGGCGGTCCGCGCGGAGCACTGTGGGACACAAACAAAGTGCCCCCAAACAGGCTGGAGTGAGCGGAGCGGCAACGGCGGCGCCGGCCCGCACACGCGCGGCGGCGGCTCCCTCCCGACCTCCCCCTCCCCTCCCCTC